GACGACTTAGTTGTTGAAACTAGACGCACGGAAAGTGTTTACTCGGGCTTCGTATCGCAATATCCTCCGTGGGATAGGGGGAGAGGACAACTGCGACAAAGAATTTATCATTTAAAGGATAAATCAGTTATGATATGGTTAAAACAAAAAGGTTGAAACAACCCTACCTCCGGCTTCAGTCTTTCTTCAACAGTTTAGCCTGTATAACTGTTCTGGAGGCGCTGTATGTATTATCCGAAAAACGCACGAAGCTCCATGACAAGCATTTCGCTTATTGATTTATTCTTTATCATATTTCTTTGTCGCAGGCATTCTGCTTGCAATTGAGAGGTGTACAGTTTCACAATTCAAATATGTGATCGCTCATCTATTCACTTGTTTCTTAGGTTATTAACAAGTACCCAAAAGATTTCGTTTCTGTGATTACTGGTTTTGCTTTTTCCCTCAGTAGATTCGCTTTCATAGCTTGAAGCTAGCCTTACAATTGTTTCTTTTCCGGGTTATTTTACCCAATGACTTAAACCTTCTTTCGCTTGAACAAGAAAACGAGACTGTAACACGATCTGTTTACCAGGAAATTTTGATGCGAAGTTCGACATATAACGGGAGGTGATATAATCTCCTGTGGAGACAACATTACTTGCGAACCTTTGTTGATCTAAATTCCCATTTATTTGAGCATATTAACATGGTTTGTAGACATGATGGATTTTCCAGTGTGCAATGAGAAATAATAGATAGATTTAGCTAAGCCTAAAAGCGGAGCTCCCAACTTCGTAACCGACCGGCAGAAAAACGCAAATATTGTTGACATTCAGTTTTAATTTAATATCTCAACAAACATTTACAGCAATAACACCTACAATATCTCATTTTAAAGTGTATAAAATGAACTTCTCAGGGATATATAAATTTTAGGAAAAATTTCCATATAACCCCATACATTAATTATGTATTCCATTTCATTAATTATGTATGCGCGTCATTGTTTTTCAAGACAATAACTTATTTCAATGGGTTTAGCACATATACATTAGTGATAAGTACTTACTGCCTCAATAAAAGAGAAATTTATTGAGTACACCACGCCCACGATAATGTTGGAGAATCCACGCGGTAACCGGATGGGCCTAAGGTCGGCCCAGAGAGCTTCATGATCCTCATGATGAAAATCAGATAGAACCTTGCACTGGATCGAATCTTTAACGTACATACACACACCTCCATGTTGCCAGCCGACACGATCGCGCCTAAAAAGCTGGTAGCCTTTGATGTTAATCGGGGAATCAGGCACACAGCCACTCAGCCAGGTTTCAATGAAAAGGGAAGGACATTGTGTTGGACAAAAAGATCGATGGAACAAAGTGAGGCCTCCCAAGGGAGCTTGTGGTCACGCTGTTGACTTCGGATCTTGATGGAGTCGAAGAGGTGCGATTTTGAATATTTAATAAGTTCCCATGATTTACTGAATCATGCTTTCCCTTGGCCCTTGGATAGCTAATGTCGAACTGTTTTCGTCTTGAGATAACTGGAAGAATATGGTTAACTCTGTGATCCGCCTGTAGTTTGCGTTGGATCCCGCCGCGTATTCCTCTGGTTGTTTTTAAGATTCCAGCAAATTTGCAAGCGGTCCATTCAGAACGCCGCAAAGGTTTGATAAATTGTGTCGAATTTTTCCACCAGAATCTGAGGGAAAGCAGTGTAG